ACACACACACACACACACACACAGAGTTATAGATATAGATATAGAGAAATAGATATAGGCACTCAAATTTCAAATTGCATCCTTGCAGAACCTTTGCAATGGTGAAACCCGACGCAGTACACAGACTAGGGGAAGTCATCGATGTGATCCAGAGCCGGAACTTTGAGGTGAGCCAGATGAAGATGGTGCAGCTGACACGAGCTCAAGCGGGACTGTTTTACCGCGAGCATGAAGGCCGGCCGTTTTTTGAGTGAGTTGACGTAGCCTAGTTGGTTTTTGGTTAGGGATAGCCTCTTAGATATAGGACCTGATGTTTAACCCACTGCTGTAGTTTATATGCATGTTGTAGTGGCCACAGTAGTTTTGTTTTGTGAATTCTGTGAACTGAGGAGTCAGGTAGTAGGTCTTTGCTGATTTCTCCTTTCTTTGAGTTTTCAGGAAAATTTTTTTTTTCTGATCCTATTGATACTTTTTTATTATTATTATCATTATTATTATTATTATAATGTTCTTAACAAAACTTATAGTAACAGGAAATAAAACAGAATCTCTCAAAAATCAAGAAAAATTGCAGGTAGGTCAAGAAAACTGATATGTTAAAATCACTCTAGACACGGCACTTATGGACACAACATGGTTTTGTGAATTTTTGGTTTGTGTATCATTGTAAAAAGGAGTGTAAACATTTACCTGATATATTATAATTGTTATTACTGTAAATTAGAATGAGTGCTCTCTGTTATTGTGAATTATTATTATCATTGTATTTCTTGACATTATTATTAGTAGGATGATAATATCCATATTAGTACCTGTATCTTTGTTCTTTGTTATTTCTGGATGGCAGTTTGTTAAACAACAAAGTAGTATTATCAATATCATGATCATTTTTGCATTTTCTTTTCATTTCCACCAACCAGGCCCCTCCTTGACTACGTAACAAGTGGCCCAGTTGTAGCCATGGAGCTGATCACAACTAATGCAGTGCAGCGATGGAGGGAGACCTTAGGCCCTACAGACGCAGAACTAGCAAGACGAGAGGCACCCGACACCATCCGCGCCAAGTTTGGGAAGGATAAACAGTCAAATGCGGCCCATGGCTCGGATTCTGATGTTGCAGCCACTAGGGTAGGGTTGGCTGGATGTGTGTTCTTGTGTCACCTTTTGCCTTTTTCTGTCGTTCTCTTTCTACTGTTCCTTCTTATGTATTCATATTTTTTTCATTTGATATATAACTCCCTGAAAAATTGTATATCTTTTAATCATTGCTTTTGTTCTGTTCCCTCCACCCTCCAACCCAAAAAAGAAAGAAAAAAAATGTAGCAAAGATTTTTGTGTACTTGGTTTGCCCTTCTACTCTTTCATTACAGGATATTCCCATAACATTAGTTCTAAATTGTTGAACAGTATCAGATGTATTAAAGGACAGTAGGTATATTTCATACGAAACAGAAGAAGAAAAGAGAAAAGGCCTGTTTTTTAACATAGTGAGTCAGGCTGTGCACATATTTAACCAATAACAGTTAAGAAGCTTTTTGTAATTTAAGCCAACAAGTATTTACTTTGGTCTTCAGAATGATCTGTTGGTCATGGATCTGTTTAGGATAGCACTATTTTATTACATGTGTACACAGGAAATGTAATGTGAATTTGTACATGCTTTCAGCAGTATTGATGTAAGTCAGGTCTGTGATGTATTTTTGTTCTTTTTGTGAATAATAGCTAGTCCTTTTTTATGGTTCAACCAAATAAATAATATTTTCAATGGAGGTTAAGGGCCAATTGTTTATACAGGAAATAATAATTTTGCTTATTTTCATTTTTGTTATTTGTTTTTATTGTTTATCTACTTCCATATTTATTGATTTATTAGTTAGTTGAGTGTAGAGAAAGTTAATGGAATTTTTATGTGAAACTGAGATGCTGATAATGCTAGAAGTTTTAACTAGAATGATATTGATAGTAATAATAGTAATGACAAGGAAAAAAAGATAATTGATATAGCTCTGATAGTACTTATGATAGTGGTACCAGTTATAATAGTACCGATAGTGATGGTATTTATTAATCTGTTGGATCTGGTTGCATCACAACATGCACATTGCCAAAACCTAGGCATTAAATTTACTTGAGTGGTGAACTTTTATGTGTGTGTGTGGCTTGTAGGCCTAGCCCACAGAAACACTTGTGTGTGGTACCAAGACTCCTTGCTTAATCTTTGCAATATTATTATCTCTTTTTCTGTATAAACAGTGGGGGAGGGTTCACTTTTCAAGTTTTGTATTTGTCATTTGATATGCTGTATCAAGATGGCAATAGACTGTTTTCCATCCACAGACTCTATATCATCTTTCTAGGTAGTCTAAAACTGTACAGTAACACCAACAATGAATAACATTTCATTTATCATTTTCTTATATTTTATATATCCCTGGAACTGATGCTCTTCCAGTTATAGCTTATAGATTGTTCATTCCACTCTTTATTTACCAGTGGAAATAATGCAAGAGTCCCTTTCTAAATGCCTACTGATTCTAATCCTCCTCCAAGAGCTTTGTGCAATCATGGCAAGTCATTCCCCTCACCCCTTCCTTCAGCCAAATTTTTCATGACAGCATTTTCCTGTCACCCTGTCCCTTGACCAGATTTTTCAAGGAAGGCATATTCCCTTCACCCAGTCTTCAGCCATTTTTTTTTTTATGTTAGATCTAATTTAATAACAAAAATTAAACTATAATTATGCCTTTTTTCCAGGAAATTGAGTTCTTCTTCCCTTCCTCCAAAGTTCATGACATAATGGTACCCCAGACAACAGCACGATTCCTGAATAATACATGTTGCATTATTAAACCCCATGCAATAGCAGAGGGTAAGTGATGGAACTGGAAATGCTACATATTTTGCTTGCATTTCTGTAGACTTTAGAGTCTGTGACCAATATTTATTAATAGAAATAGTGTTGTTTGGGTATTGCAGGAATCATTTTAAATGTAATTGATATACATAATTTTTAGGTAACATTTTAAACACTATTAATCCCATGACTGGTGTTAACCTGCCAAACTGAAGCACAGGAAACATAGTATTTATGATTTTTCAATGAAAGAAACTGAAAAGTGACTTTAAGCCTACACTTGAATGCTGTACCTCTTCAGTGACTGCAGTCAGGGCCAAAATAGTGAATAACTTTAGTACACACAACATAGTGCAGACTTGACTGTTTATGACTTGTATACTTGCCACCCAAAATACAGACACACTGCATCATGGCAAGAATAGATGTCACTGAGTATGAGTGGCTTACTAAATGTTATTAGTTTGTAACATATAAATCTTATTAACACATGTTATTTATAGGTAATATGGGCAGCATACTCAAAGCGATAAAAGATGAGGGATTTGAGGTGTCAGCTCTCCAGATGTTCCGCATGGATAAAATTCAGGCAGAGGAGTTTTTGGAGGTGTACAAAGGCGTAGTCAGTGAATATCCAGTAAGTGATGATTGTGATGTGTGGTATGAATTTTTAGTGGTATTAATAGTTATAACTTACTCTGGTGCTCCTTATTTATTATTATTATTATCGTTATTCGTAGAATCAGTATTAATATATTCTTTTCTTTTTTTCTTTCTTTAAAATAAGTATTTTGATTTTCCTTTTCCATCATTCATAGGGCAGGAGTATAGTAGATATTCTACCCCTAAAATCTGAAACTGAAAATGTTAAAAGATCATGGTAATAAACTTGAAAGTATCTCTGTCAAGTTTACAAGTTTGTTACTCTTATCCAAAAAAAACATTAAGAAGATTAGATAATAAAATAGATATGTACAGATATATTGATGGATTGATATATAGATAAATAAATAAATAGAATGAAAAAAGAATTTATAAACAGAATAATAAGGTATATTATAATGAAAAATACTTTCCTCTCTAGGGTATGCTACAACAGTTGATCTCGGGTCCTTCAGTTGCCATAGAGATCACGAGCATCCACGCAGGGCAGACTCCAGTTAAATTTAGGGAATTCGTAGGACCAGCTGATCCAGTAAGTGATTTCTCATATTGAGTTTTTAGCTTTATGGCTGTAAAAGTGGATTGTATATTTCATGTCCAGTTTTTCTCTTTCTTTCTTTCTTTCTTTTTTCTTTTTTTTTCAGTATTATTATTCATCTCTTTATTTTAGTGAGACTGATGATTGACATAAGAATGAATGACATTTGTAAAGAAAGGGAAATGCAATGGGAAATTGTATATATAATTTCGGTAGAAGTTGTGTGTTTGATTATTTGATGATGTAAACTCAAGTGAATTGATCTTCTTCTCCTTTGCCAAAGACTCCATATTATCCATATTTTCTTATTTTCTTGATAAGGTGCTTTTCTCTCCTATTATAAATAATTTTACTTTGATTTGACATGTTTTATTTCTTTTTGATAACGTTTTTACTTCACCTCATTTTCCCATTACAGATTGTGGCCAAAGAGTTACGGCCCAACAGTCTAAGAGCTCGATTTGGCGAAAACACGGTCAAGAATGCCCTTCATTGCTCTGATTTGCCGGATGATGGTCCCCTTGAGGTCGGTTGTTCAGTAGGATTTAATTTAGTTTATATTTTACAGAGTTCATTTGACAAAAAAAGGCTGTAATTTCACAGTGTAGGATAGATAACAAATATTTCAGGATTGTATCTTCCTTAGAAGCACGTAATTCTGGTAATGACTTACTGCTGAAATATCTTGCCTTCTCGAACTGATCTTTTTTATTCATAACTTCAAAATGGGGATATTCAGTTTACATTCCTGTTTTACATATTAGTTTTAGTGTTTAGTCATATTGATTTATTGTCCAGGATTCAGGATTTTTTTCTTTCTTTTTCTCTTTCTTTATTCCATTTGTACAATAATTATGGTAGAGATTATTTTTTGTGACTTGATAGCAGGTATTGGGTTATTTTCATTATTATTATTAATAATATTCATCAGTATTATCTATATATGCTCTTGCTATTGTAGCTACAATTGATATAATTTATATATGAAAAGACGTGTCTGCATAATTTATGTAAAGTAAACAATGAAAAGTATGCTGTGGATTTCTATTAATTTTCCACCATTTCTTTTCAGGTGGAATATTTCTTCAAAATTCTCCAGTGATTTTGTTTTCAGCACATATGGTACATGCATTCCAGTGCAGTTTTCAGTGACTGCCATTTTTATATATTTGCAATAAATGTATATCAGTGTATTTGGAGGATCTCCCCTTTTTGCTAACTGTTTAATGTCCTTCACAAAGTATGTTATACTGTTAATGATATTTTGTTATAAATCCATCAGATCTAGGTGCATTACTGCCTGCACAGGGCCCAAATTTGCGCATTATGCTCACTTTAGCAGCAACTCTCACAGGTGTGCAGCTTATAGGCCTGGCTGACACAAATATTCATGTGTGGTATCTAGACTCCTTTGCTCCCCTTTGCAAGGTTAATATCTCATTTTTTACGTGAGCATTTTGTCTTATTCATTTTCACCCCCCAGTCAAAATTTCTCATGACAGCATGTTCCTATACTCTAGCCTTCCATCAAATTTTTTTGTGATGTGTTGGTCACATCACCAAGTTAAATATAGGGTTTCAGAACAAGCTGGTGTTGCCTTTTTCCTGGTTTATTTAATAAATTATATATATTCTAAGTTGTTTATTATTATTATCAATATCATTATTATCATCAATATCATTAATCATTATCAACTATATTCATTATTGATACAATCATTATTAAAATACTAACACTACAACTACAACTTCAACTACTACTACTACTCCAACTACTACTAATCATCATCATGATATTTTTTAATACCACCATTATCAGCCTTTACCAATTTTTACATAGTATTAAAAAGGGCAATGGTCATTGGAAATTGAAGGTGCTTATATTGAAACCTTATGTAAGATCTTAGGGAATCATATATTGAACAAAGTCTCATTGCCGTTTGATTGTTACATGGATCTGTAGTCAAAAAGGATTCCTTAAAATAATATAGAATTATCATGGAAATCTTCATAGGCATATTTTTTTTTTTTGTATTATTCCAAATATGTTAGTTTTTGTGTGTTTCTGGAGATGCAGCTCAAAATTTAAGCTACATTTATAACGCCTTTATTAGGTAGTTTGACTTTTTTCTTTCCTTTGTATGTGAAAATTATTTAGCTTGTGTTTTAATATATTTATGCTATGTAGTGCTAGATTCATATCACTTAAAACATAATTGTTTTTATAGTTTTGCCTGGTAAAATAGAAGACCTGAATATAGTACTCTTGTAAGGTGTTTACAAAAGAAATACTGAAAACCGATGCCAACCAAAACAATGTGTTCAGCAATGGAAAATATACACCATTAGGTTATTAGTTCTCCAGGACCAAATATTTTGTGAAGCTCTCATAAGTTATTGAAAAATACCAGCATGTCTTCTATTTTGTGTGTCATTTGTTGACTTTATGTAAAATTCAACAGATGAGATAATTTGAAGGTTTAAGCTTATTAATTATCAATAACCTATCATCTTTATCAGATTACTTAAATTTTCATAGTTATTTAATTAAGATATAAGACGCATCTTACGTGGACCAAAGATATTCCAGCTGACCAAACTAATGTATGGAAGTTTTCATTCTTATCCTTTGACTAGGCAACTTTTATAATGTTGGCTCTGTATTGCAAAGAAAGTAGAGACTGCACTTTAGTTGCTAGTCAAAGGTGCATATTTATTCTACATGTGGACAATTTTTTCCTGCATTTGGATATTGATTCAAGTTGAAAGTAAAATGAAATTAGAATCTCTGTTGTTTTACTTGCCACATTTTGAGTACCAAAGCGTGGATACCAAACAGATATATCTAATAAATAAAAAAAATGTGGAGACGCTTTGCCTTAAGTACTTGGTTATTGGATGCATAACTCCTGCAGTAAACATATCTTAAAAGTTGTTTATTTTTTATACAAATGGCAGCCATGCTCTGGCTGTCCAATTCTACCTTTCTTGGTAGATACAGTATTCATGTACAATGTGCACGAGCACAATCACGAAGTCTCACTAATTCAAATTGCAAAACGGTTGTACTTTTCCTTGACTTTACTTACAGAAAATATCAAACAGGCTTCACCTTTTTTATGCATAACAAATGTATAAAAGCCACTAATTTTAACTAATTCAAAAAGAATCCGTGGATCATATTGGCTCTATTTTTCAGATAATTTAAGATTTTTGGTGTTAGCTTTAACTGAACTCATAGCATTAACCTAATAGTAGCCATGACCCTCCCTTCAGCCCAGTTACTAGGCAATAACTAGTGTGCAGAACTAGTTCTGAGATACTGAGATACTGATAACTGGAAACTCATTGCAACAGTGATATGCTTTCTGTCCTGCTAAATAATTGTTGGGGCAGCAGTGAGCATTGTACCTACTACTTATCCATACAGGACTGATCCTATGTTCCAAGCATGACATACATGTGTAATACGTTATTTTATTATTATGAAGTCAATTAGTCCATAACAATAAAAGAAAAAATATGGAAGAGGAATGGAGACTTAAGGCCTGTTAACACAGGTGGGCACATTGGTAAAGGTGAAAAAGCAGCAAGGAAACTACTTGTATATTGAGTAGTTTGTCTACCAGTTACATCAACTCTATTCGTGCCTGCCTGTGTGGACAGGCCTTTCATAATATCCAAAAGTAAAAGCCAAATTGAAAATTATGTCCTGAATTATAATGTGTATAAAAAAACTATCATTTCTATAAAAAGTAATTTGAAGCAATATTAGAGAAGAAATAGGACCTTTCTTTGATAACTCACCACTATACTGAGCACAACTAAATAACTGGCAGTAATAATAAAGGAGTAAATTCAAAGTCTAGTGATAATGTCTCATTTATTTGAAAAATAGTTTTCACCCTATTATCTGTAGAAAAAAAAGATAAATGAAAACATTTAAAGAAATTTTAAGTAATATAAAAAAATTATTTTACTATTAATTTATTCATTAATTAGGTATGCATTAGTCAACTCTTATTTTAAATCAAATATGAAATATGGCAGAAAAAGTGATGAAATAGTACCTTTAATACTAAACACAGCTTATATTACTGAAAAAAGGAAACCACTAATATTTTGTAAAATATCACAGAAATTATATCATATATCCAATTTTAAAGTTTTATTAATAAATAACAAGGATATCTAATACAAATGTTTATAATTTCCAACAGATAATATTAATAGGTACAATTTATCAACAACGATGGTAAAACTTCCCTGTCTTTGTTTCTACCATTTTAAAAGTCATTAACCAGCAACAAGGTTTAGCCCAAAACACCCCATGAAAAGTTCCTAACACCCCACACTTATTTCAATGTTATTTTCCCCACAATTTCAACAACTTTCGGCTGGTGAAGCACAGTGTTGAACCAGCGTGTCAAGCAAGGTAGTCTCTCACGTGCTGCTTTGTCAAGGCCGTGCTGGAAGGCTGGGATCAGGGATGCAAATACAGACACATCAGCAAGGGAGAGTCGCTCTCCGACCAGGAAAGTGTGGTCTCGGAGGTATGTATTCATTTTCCCCAGCTCCTTCATAGCTGCTTTCAATGCTCCATCATCTTTCTTCTTGTCTTTTCCTGAACCTATCAACCCTGAGCTTACAACATGGAGAAGGCTATTATCAGCAGCTAGCATCCAACTCAGAATTTGTGCTTCATGCATTGTGCCGCTGCCTCTAAGCTCAGGACTAGCAAGGTACCAGGCCACTCCTACACTACCTCTCAGTGCACCATCGGGGGTTTCTAGGCCAGGCAAGGTGGATGACCCAAACTTTGAGACATATTCTGGGTCACTAGGTGTACTGGTATGAGAAATGGTTACATTCTTTCCAGAGTATTTGGCAGCTATGAGGGCTGGGAAAGCACGGACACTGTTTGGATGTGTGTGCAGTACAATGCCATTCTTTGGAACCTTACTATCTTGCTTTTGAGTGCTCTGCTGTTTTCCTGGCTTCTCTTGCTTACTTTTTGATACCTGTGGTTGGGCAGCTGGTGTAGAGGCAACAGCTGCAGGTGGAGACAATACAACTGGGCCACAGCCTAATTTCTCTTGAGCAAATTTCTCTGATGCAGCAATTGCCTCCTGGAGAGCCTTAACATTGCTTCCACTCAGCTGGGCCGATTCAGGTTTGCCTCCACCTCGGCCATTTACTAATTCAGCCAAATTTTTCACCCACTCATCAGCTTTCAATCCTTTGGCCACAACGTCTTTTGGCACTGAAGCCATAGCCAGAATTTTGCCAGTATCCTCATCTGTGCTAACAAACAAAGCTGGAGGTCCATTCTTTGCTTCTTTCAGGGCATCATTGAGGACCTTATTCTGGGCAAATGCTTTTAGCTCAGTCACAAGGTATGGGATGTTGGGGTTAGCTGCAAGTACATTTTTCGTGATCTGAATTGCCTCCTTTGAGATAGCTGTTTTCCTGGCACGGTCAGCATCACCTTGGACCTTCTTGACTGCTTCTACAGCTTTGCGCAGCTCTTCTTTGCGCCAATGCTGAATTTGGGCATGGTTGATATCATTCAACATTTCTGTAAGGAGACGTACAACTTCCTTGAATGGCATATTGTTTTCTGCAATTTTCTTCTTCAGTTTATTCACCTCATTCTCCAGATGTGAAGCTTTGTTAAGTGCCTTGACAGCTTCTGGGCCAGTGAAAGCAACAATACGTCTGATACCCTTGGCAATGGCTTCTTCACTAACAATAACAAAGTCTCCAGCATGGCCTGCACGAAGGAGATGAGTACCACCACAGAATTCAATGCTTGTGACACTTCCAGCAGGACTCTGTGGGTCAGCTTCTAGGGTCTCCACAGGAATACCAATGGAAACCACTCTGACGGGATCAGGGTAAACTTCACCAAACACTGCACGAAGACCCTGGATGCTCTTAGCCACATAGAGTGAGGCTGTTTTAGCATATACTGGTTTGTTCTCCTTCACCATCTGCCTGCAGATTTCTTCAGCTTTCTTCACTTGATCAACGGTCATGGCTCCCTTGTTGGTGAAATCAAACCGAAGTCTGTCTGGAGCCACCAAAGAACCCCTCTGATCAGCGTCTGATGACAGGACTTGGCGTAAGGCAAAGTTCAGGATATGGGTGCCAGTATGGTTGTTCATCAGATGTCTTCTACGCTCCCAATCAATACTCAAGTTCATTTCATCTCCCAGCTTGATTGTACCTTCCACCACACCAATATGGCATACAAATCCACCTTTAACTTCAACTGACTCCACCTTGAACTCGGTCTCTTCATCCCCTATTTTCACCATGAAACCCTCATCATAGATCTGGCCTCCACTCTCTGCATAGAAATTGGTTTTGTCAAGAACTATGCCACAGCGATATCCAGACTTAACTTCATCAACAAACTGGTTATTGTATCTGATGGCAACCACTTTACTATTAGTGCCTTCAAATTTGTAAGGAGAATCTACTGCTTCACCTGCAGTGTAGATATACTTGAAAGAATCATCAGTAAAAGGCACTTTCCTGTCTTTAAGATCTTCAATAGCATGGACATCTAGTCTAAAGGAATTATCTTTGTCCTTATTTTCTCCTCTGGATTTTTCCTGAGCCTCCTTCTTGCTAACTTCAAATTTTTCCATGTCAACGGCAAGGCCCTTTTCCTCTGCCATGAGCTGTGTCAGATCAACAGGAAAACCATATGTGTCATACAGCCTCCAAGCCACATCACCAGGAACAATTGTGCTGCCTCCAAGCTTGTCAATTGTGCGTTTCAGTAGTTTATGACCACGATCCAGGGTTTTCAAGAACTGAAGTTCTTCCTCATTTATGACATCTTTTACAAATTCAGGATCCTTTGCAACTTCTGGGAAAGCATCCTTCAAAATTTGCACAACTACATCCACAAGTGATGCAAACATGCCTGGTTTCATGTTCAGCACTTCAGTGGCATACCGAATGCCACGCCTGAGAATCCTACGCAGGACATACCCTCTTCCAGCATTGTCTGGCATGCCTCCATCAGATAGAGCAATTGTTAAAGTTCTAATATGATCAGCCAGTACCCTGTATGCCATGTCAACACCATCAACATCATCTTTACCGACTTTCCCTGAGTAAGGCCTAACACCAGTTAACTTTTGGATAGTTCCAAAGATGGGTAAAAAGAGATCTGTGTCGTAATTAGACCTCTTATTCTGCAGAATAGATGTAAGCCGCTCCAACCCCATGCCGCAGTCAATGTGCTTCTTAGGTAGATTCTTCAGGGTGCCATCAGACTCTCTGTTGAATTGAATGAACACAAGGTTCCAGATTTCCAAGACATCTGGATCATCCATGTTGACAAGATGGGCTACATGCCGACCGCCAATTCGGTCAAAGTGAATTTCAGAGCATGGTCCACATGGTCCTGTGTCACCCATCTCCCAGAAGTTGTCCTTCATGTCTCCTGGTAACACACGGTCTTCAGGGACTCCCAAATCCATCCATATCTGCTTGCACTCGAGGTCAGGCTCCAGACCCTGCTCTGGGAAACCGCCGAAGTAGGTCACATAAAGGCGTTCCTTGGGGAGCTTGTACACATTAACTAGGAGATCCCATGCCCAAGCACACACCTCTTTCTTGAAGTAGTCACCAAAGGACCAGTTGCCCAACATCTCAAAGAAAGTGTGATGGTACACATCCTTGCCTACATCATCCAGGTCATTGTGCTTTCCACCAGCGCGAATGCATTTCTGTGAGTTCACAGCTCGGACGTAATTTGCCATGTCACTGCTGGGGTCTACAGTACCCAGGAAGATAGGCTTGAACTGATTCATGCCGGCATTGGCAAAAAGAAGAGTTGGATCATCATGAGGAATGGTGGGAGAGCTATGAACATAGGTATGCTGGTGCTTCTCTTTGAAGAAGTTGTAGAATGTGTCTCTAACTTCTGAACTCTTCATTTTGCCTGAAAAGAAGATATAGGACCTCGTTAGTAACTACAGAACAAGACCACAAATGATGCTACTCTACACACCTACATACAGACAGACAATGCCAATGTATTTCTTTATAGGCTACATAGAAAGAAAGGGACGGATTTCTAGTAATTCTTTCCAATACGAACACGCTCACCTACGATTAAGTACCCCAACTCCATAACACATTTTTAAAAACAATTTATGTTGCCGTTTTTGAGCATGCCTGATGGAAGGGTTGATGGGGGGTTCAAACACCCCAAAGAATCCCCCTCACGACCATTGTTTTCACTTCCATATGCATGGTAAGAGAAGAGCTGAAACTCAGGAGAACCAAGTGGCTTTAAGCTGTGAGCGGTGCTTTCTACAATGTTTTTACTTTATTTGTGGTGATACCATTTGTGTCTGTAGATTATCTCTTGTATCTATAAGAGCAACTCAGTCTTCTCTAAGAATATCATTTACCCTAGCTTAGTGCATCCATAATATAAATATTAACTAGATTTATGTGTAATTTTTCTGTTTGTATTTTTCCCCCCATATATTCCTCCCTTTACTAAACTATTTCCCCATGAAACAAAAGAGCCTTAACCCACTAGCGTCAGTATATTCTGAAGTCGAAAATAATGGTTTCCGGGCAGCTTCAGAATTGGCATGCAGGGCTGGCCCCAAATATGCCTATGCACTGCCCGCCATGGGCGACAAAATTGGAGCGCAAGCTCCAATCTAGCGTTGCACCAGTGGGACACCCAGCAATTATTATTTTTCCAGGTGTCACATATGTGTAACATCTGTCTTAAATCGGTTAATAAAGAAATTTGGAAAAAAAAAAAATATATATATATATATATATATATATATATATATATATATATATATTATATATATATATTATATATGGAAGAAAAACCCACAATGCACAAACTAGATTTATTGAGGAAAGTGTATTGTAGATATACTGTGATTTCGAATGGTGCACCTGTCAGAGACTTCCTTACTCCAGGAATTTTAAAGAGCAAAAGAATGTGGAAAATTAAAATCATATTTCATATGATAAAGAGAGAAGAAAATAGAAAATCAGAAAGATTGCCATGTCAAAAACCTTCCTAACCCAGGAGCTCTAACCTGGACCCCTCCAGATCGCTGCATTTCCTTATCAGGGGCTCCATCCTTGAACCCTCCCAATCGCTGTATTTCCATACCAGTCACTCCACCCCCTGTATCTCAATACAATAATTTCAAAACCATATATCCTTCTAGTCACCAACAATTTTTCCTTTAAACAGATGGAGGATAAGGTTTAGCTGTTGTCAAAAGGAACTGGTAGAAATACTTGTTTATCTTTGGAAAATGCATCAACCTCTACCATAAATTTAAAAGAATTTCCACTATATTGTCTTAAAAAGGACCATAACCAAAATCATATTCAGCCCAAAACAGACAGGTGACTGTAGAATAATAGTTAAGGAACTATAATAAATCCTGCTTTGGAAAACGCACATGCGCAAAAAGTTCTTATAACAAAGAATACAAAATAATTCATAACAGGCCTTTTTTTTATAACATTATATAAAAACACTAGATGCCTAAATGTAGTGGAGCATATAGGAAGAAATAGGAAACAACTAATTTTCAAAAGTGCATAGTGACACACGCAATAGTTGACATGTCGCAGTAATAAGTTATGCAGTCAGTTAACTATTCGATACCGCAGAGTAAACATGTAGAACGACTTGGAAAAAAACGCTTTGTGCAAGAAATCAAATGCTTCTTATAACCACAAATGTGAGTGCATTCATTATTTCACTTTAAGGGTGCTGATTCCATCATACAGAATAAGAATATATATATTTCTTCATGCAATAGTGCACACTGATATCCTCCAGTTTAACCAATGATGCATTTAAATCAAGTCCACAGTGACTGGGTGTAGGTCTGGGGTGGAGTCCCATACTAGGAAATACAGGGATCAGTCGAGGGTCTGGGAGCGAAGAACCTTGCAATTCTTATTTCTTGTTTCAATTCTTCTTCTTGGTGTAAAATTCATTAATCTGTTGTTGTTTCCCATTGCAAATGAAGTAACCGCATACCTTTCATACCATTACTGAAGCTAGTCGAGGGAATCCACAAATATTGCTATAAGATCCAAAAACCTTCCTAATCCCAGAGTTTCATCCCCAGACCTATATACTATCACCCTACATCCCTATCGGAGGAACTGCCCCCAGACCTACATCCAATCGCTGTGGTTTTACTCTCTCTGCAGCATTTCTTGCAGAATATTTTCTTCACTTTTGGCGTTATTCTTTGCCCGAGTAGATTATTCCCCAGTATTAGTGAGTTTTTCCCTTTCTTTATGGCAGTCATTAGATTTTCTCTATCTTTATGCAGTCATTATGTTATTGTTTACCCAAGTATTATATGTTGCAAACTATTCTTATTACTAACTTAATACAAATGATTATATAATGGCTATCTTTATGTATGGACACAAGTTTGGGTAAATTGTATATGATATTCTTGTACAGGACGAAAGATTGCAGTCAGTGGTAAAGAAATAATCAGCAGACATGAATTATAATGTCCACTCAGTGCTCGCGAGTCTCCACTCTATCTTGCCATAAATGCCGAGGTGAAAACAATGTTTCCTGGGAGTCAGAGCTCTCCTTCAACCTCTGCCTCAGGCTGTGCCCAAAGGGAACACCCATTCATCAGGTCCATTTGGCACACCCATTCATGGAAACTTAAACAGATTAATAAATTTTGTGACATGGAGCTGGGGGCCCCTACTGTAAAGAATTACCTTACTAACTTCGAAGGAACTACTACCAGTGAAATGTGCCTCTTTTTTTCTGTGTCATTTCTCCCTTTCTGATTCATCCTTTTCTTACCTGGTACCTTGTATTGCTATGTGAAACAAACAATACCAAAATATTTGTTGCAAGAGCAATGAAGAATTTACTTAATTTTCA